CAAAAATTATTAGGGGGCTGGAGCACATGATTTATGAGGAGAGGCTGAGGGAACGGGGATTATTTAGTCTGCAGAAAAGAAGAATGAGAGGGGATTTGATAGCTGCTTTTAACTACCTGAAAGGGGGTTCCAAAGAGGATGGATGTAGACTGTTCTCAGTGATAGCAGATGACAGAAAAAGGAGTAATGGTCTCAAGTTGCAGTGGGGGAGGTTTAGGTTGGATATTAGGAAACATTTTTTCACTAGGAAGGTGGTGAAGCACTGGAATGGGTTACCTAGGGAGGTGGTGGAATCTCCTTCCTTAGAGGTTTTTAAGGTCAGGCTTGAGAAAGTCCTGGCTGGGATGATTTAGTTGGGGATTGGTTCTGCTTTGAGCAGGGGACTGGACTAGATGACCTCCTGAGGTCCCTTCTAACCCTGATATTCTATGATTCTATGATTTCCCTTCCCAGTCAGGCCAGATTAAGTCACAGGCATGTGCATACACAACATAAACATTTGACAACACGAGAATCCTAGTTTAGACCCGATGGCTACAGAAGAAAGCATGAAACCATGAATGATGCAATGATGCCATTTGCAGGCAGCTTGAAACCAGAGCTCTAAGACAGTGGCTCTCTAAACTTTTTTTTTTTTACTGGTGACCCCTTTCACATAGCAAGTCTCTGAGTGCGACCCCACCATATAAATTAAAAACACTTTTTTATATATTTAACACCATTATAAATGCTGGAGGCAAAGCGGGGTTTGGGATGGAGGCTGACAGCTCGCGACCCCCCATGTAATAACCTCGCAACCCCCAGTTTGAGACCCCCTGCTCTACGAGGTGTGAACTGCCCCCTGCATCTCTCAGACTTCCACAAAGTTATTGTTAAGGAACTGCTGAGGCTGGTGACTTCATCTGCAGTGACATCACCAGAGGGTGGAACCTCGGGGGGGAGTTGGTCAGGCTGACATTTGGAGAGTGGATCTTGAGAAGGGAGATCTGGGAAGGTTGACAGGGCAGTCACAGGGAACAGGGAGTTGGAGGGTCAGACAGAAGGTCTAGATAGACTTGCCTGGAGAGGGTGGCTCACTTAATAAGGGTTAGCAGAGCTCTGAGGAGGAAACCTGAAGAGAGCTCAGCTTGGTGTCCCTAGCCCCCAGAAGCTTCCCATATAGGTAGATTGCGGTGGGCTCTGGAAGGCAGAGTTTCTCAGAAAAAGTGATGGACACGCAGGTCCTGGCACAGTATGTATGTATATTTGTAAATAATTAAGACACTCAAGGTAGAGTTACATAGACCTGGTAAGTTGAGCAGTTTCTGTGTATAAAACTATTTCTTTAATGCTTCCAATTCCATGTTAGATTATAGTTGTCCTTAGTGTAATAAATAAGATGCTTTGTTTGCACTAGCTCTAAGACTAAGCCTGATATGTGCTACTAAGTTATTTAGACACCTAACTGCTACTTCTCAAAGTGATGCTACATAATAACCACCACATGCTAGAGTGTATTTCTGGGTTTCCAGTTCCTAGGGAGAAACAATTAAACCTTTTAACTGTAAATCTAAGAGAGACAAGGAGTGAATACTTGGTGTACATAATGGTGGCAGCAAAGGTACCAGATAAACAGTCACTAAGCATCTGTGTCAGCTGTTCACCAGAGGGTGAGCAGGCCATCACAGTTATCCTTGGAAAGATATTTTAAAAAACATTACAGAGATCTTCTCAACAATGCTCAGAAACGTGGTTAAGAAAAATATTATCTTATTTCAAAGGAAATTGAAGGGGGCTCAGCATCTCTGAAAATGAGGCTATTAATGTATGGGCTCAACTACAACTAGATGTTTTGATGAGAACTGGTCTTACCGTATGAAAACCAACTTGACCTTTGACGGAGCAGTCTTAATTATTGCAGAGGCATTTTGGTGGCTTCTTCCATACAATATCTGATTGTTTATCTGTTAAAAAGAATGGGGAAAAAATGGTTCATGTACAAATGTATTTAATTAAAACTAAAGCTAAATATGTATTGTTTTGAACTTAATTATAGTGCATAATCCAACACTTCAAAGATGATGACAGGCTAAAAGGAAGATGAAACGATAGAGAGAAAATGAGGGGCGCATGAAATATAAATCCCATTGCCTATGAGGATCTTAAAAATAGGCATATCAGCTTTGCACATTACATTTTTACTTTCCTTTTAGTAAGACATCAGTATGCCGGAAGAGGTTTCAAGCACAAATGCACTGTGGTAAGATAGTGTATGAAGAAGCATACAGGAGAAAGTAAACAACGCTAACCTCTGTCAGTGCACTCACTCGAAATTCAATTTTGATTTGGACAATCCAGGCTATTATCTTGCCATCAGTTCATGTGCAGGAGAAGGGCAGGATGTGATACTTAATTCAGAGGTAACACTTTATAATACTAATTTAGCTTTTCTATCATTTCTCTTATGGAAAAAATAGATATTGAATTTATTTGAAGAATACCCTATTTCTCCATCATGATTTCAAGATAGACCATGAAGCTGTAGCTTTAAGATTGAGAAAAATGCTAATTTTCTACAGTTTAGTCACTTATTTTCAAAGCAATATATATATTTTATATTGAATTAATATTGCCAAGCTGAAAGTATTCCAGGAGAGCTGTAAAATGATTAACATGTTGCATAATGCTTAATACAAGAAATGAGCAGCTGCATACTGAATTAAGTTTTGTCTATACTAGTGGCTATTTCCATCACTCAGTACAAATGAGACAGAATTCCTACACTGCTCAAACCTTTGTTAAATAAAGAAAATAAACAATGTCTGGTGTTCAGAGTCAAATTAATGATCATCTATGGCAAGTTCTAAAAAAATTCAACATGAGAAATGTTATCTAAAATTGACTTCTAACACAGCTTTTAACAGCTGATCCTAAACTGTGGCATACAGGTCAATAGTGATCAAGTTGCACTTGCTAGTCACATGATGCTGACTCTTTTCTCCATCTGAGGACAACAAAGACCCATGATACATTTTAAAAGACATTCATTTTCTGTTGTTGGGGTTATTTTCCAAGGGGGAATCAACAGGTTAATATTCTTCAAATGGTTAAAGTAATCCAGCAACAAATTGTATGACAATCATATCCATATTTTACAAATACTCCTGCAAAATATATTTCTTATTTCCCCTCTCCCCCCCCCCCACTTCATTTCCTCACCACCCTTTCAAAAGTTTGATATTTGGGAGTGCCTAAATATATTTGCATAGTAAGATCTGATTCTGCTTTCCTTGTATACTCCAAAGTCCCTCTGAGGTCAATAGCAACTTGAGATACACAGAACATGAAAGGATCAGGCACTAAGGAAATAACACTACCCCAAAGTTTGAAGAGCGTCAAGTTATTATTATTTGCAATTACCACACAAGGAGATACAGTTCTAGAGGTGGTATACTAAACTCAAAGGTAAAATTTAAGAAATTGGCAAAAAGGGAATACTTCCATAGAGGCATTCAGAGTTCAAATTAGCAGATTATTAATTTGTGATAAATTTGTTGTCTTATTTTTTTCTCAATTTAAAAAAAATATTCACTAGGGATATCATATCTGTTTTATAAATAGTTTGGATTTAGTAGAATTGCCATCAATTTTTCTTAACAACTGCCTATTTAGATTAGAATTTATATTTCTTACACTGGTTAAATTAATCCTACTTTGCAAATGTATCAGAGTCCAAAATTTAATTAGCCGGAGTTAGGTCTGTACGTTACAATTATTTTAATTATCCAAAAATGAAAATGTAGTCAAAGTAATATATTTCCCTTGAGGTTTTCAACTATCCCATGTAGTTATTCTTCAGTGACAGCCTAAATTATTTTTTTTTTTTATAAGAAAAGGGTTTCTTTTGGAAAGAAAATTTATTATGTTAGCTGCTCAGATACCCCAGTGATGAAGGATTATATAAAATCCTACAGAAATGGAACTGCAAGAGAACCTCTAGAATTTCAACAAGGGCCACCTTTTTGAACTCTTTTCAATGGGAGACATGTCAGAACCACAAAATACGGTAGGATATTTACCATACTTTATTTTGTGGGAATCAAAACCCACAGCCAGCTACTTGGAAACTATGTTTGATTTTCTGCATTACAGTTTGCTTATGTTAAATGTTTTCTTTTGCTGCGATGCTTAACAATAACTTCAGAAAGTTCCATTATACCCTAAAAAAAAAAAAAACCTAAGTAGATATGAACATAGTGACCTAATGGGCTCTCTACATGGATTTTTTTTTTAAACACGTCTTCTTGAAAAGATCAAGACATCACAGAGAGAGAAGAAATTGTGTCATCACCTGGTTATGATGGTTATCAGGTCAGTAGGCACAGGTTTTTATTCTGTCACTATGGCAATAGTTATGTTGTTTTATGACGTGCTTGCTGAGTCCAGGCAGCATCCAGTGCATAGCAACGTGTACTATAGATTTGGGCAACTGAAGTTTTATCTGATGGTTTCACAAGCTTAAGAAGTATCTCGCATTGTATTCACTTGCTTAAATCTGTAAATGACATGCAAGTTCATAACTGTCTACCAACAACCACTGCAGCAAGCTTTACCACCATGGCCCCCACTCCCACCATCTCCTGGGACCCCAACACTGTTTGGCCATTGTTGTTCTGATCCTGAGAGACTGGCCCAAACAGAGGGACTCAGATGACATCACTTCCTCCAATGGATCTTCTAGGGTCTGAAAGCCAGAGTCTCAAATCCTGTTCACTTTACTAACAGGAATAATTCTATTTAATCACTGGGACTACCTGCTTGTGTAAGGAGAGCGGGATCTGGCCTCACATCTTTTTCTTCTGAAAGAGTAGGAGGATAGGGATGAACCTACTGTATAAATATAAATATTTTCCCACTCAGTGTATAGCTATAGATACACCCTAAAAATACTTTTTTGGGGAAAATATAATGATCCTATATTATTTTTCCATAGGCTCCCTGTCTTGATTAGTGTACATAAGAAAGAAGGTTGCTGTCTTTAGGCCCCTCTGTCATTTGTGGCAGAAGCTGGAGATACGCAGTGAATAAGGGTTGCAAGAAGAGAAAGAACAGGAGTACTGTGGCATCTTAGAGACTAACAAATTTATTAGAGCATAAGCTCTCGTGGACTACAGCCCACTTCTTCGGATGCATACCAAGAAGAGAAAGGACGGTCTCACGGTGAAGGCAACTAAATGCTGAATGAGAGAACTGGATTCTATCCCTGCCTCTGCCCAAGAGAATCTGCGTGATGCTGGGCGAGTCATTTAAACCAAATTTTTCACAGTTCTTCACTAACTGCGGGCCCTGCTTGAGACCTTGGGGTCTGCTTTGTAGAAAACTTGGGCACTGAGAGCTGCAGCTGGAGTCAATGGGTGCTGTGCTTCGAACATATGAAGTGCTATATAATGCTAAGTATGCTGAAAAAATCAGGTGCTAGTCATCTCAAATTGGGCACTACAACAGTGGGCATTGTTGATGGTAATCTCTCTGTGCCTCAGTTCCCCATCTGTAACATGGAGATAAAGGTATTTCCCAACCTCACAGGGGTGTTGTAAAGACAAATTCATTAATGGTTGTGAAGCACTCAGATACTGTAAGTGACAAGTGCCATAAAAAAGCCCAGGAGGAAACAAACAATGTTTTTAGAGGGGGGTATAAATAGTATGGAATAAATAAAGTAGGGGGCCCCCCACTGATCAATGAAGATGTGACAAAATATTGAGCAGTTTCTCATTAAATGAGCATTATTGTCCATGCTGTGCACTGAAAGAGGCATGGTTCCTGTGGGAAAAATAGAATGTGATCATGTAATTAAAGATGATATCATAACACATACACACAATGGGGATCAAATGAAGATTGCACAGGGAATTTTAATTCTGGGATTTCCTAACTTTTGACTGCTTGACTTTGCAATCTTAATGTTCTTTAAATTATTGTTTGTGTGTGTGTGTGTTTAATATAGGTAGATAAAAGCACACCCAGCCAACTGCATAACACTATACCATTGGTGGAGGGGGTGACATCTAACCCCAAATAGTGATCAATTTATATCTTGCAGCATGAGGATTTAGAGCCCTTCCAATTTTTATGCTTGTTGCCGAAATTGCTAATAAGATTACCCCAGTAATGCCATTTTAATGGAGGTGCATGTTTACTTTAATATATTATATTATATTATATTATATTATATTATATATAATACTGAGGTGTTTTAAAGCTTTACTTGGCTTTATAAGTCACTTGGTTTGAATAATTCACAGCGCACAGGAACGTCAAGGGACTGATTCACAATTCACTCCTTTTTCAATTCTAGATGTTTTGGTGCAGCGGACCTCTGCCCGCTTGGAATTGAACTGAGACCTCCCAATCATTTCACATAAGTCAAGTAATCACATGGTAAATTTTGGCCACTAGTGAGGTGAGTTTGATTTGATCCTGTGGAAAAAT